CTCTCCCCAGGACGCTCACCTGGCCATCAGACTCCCCGAGTCCTCTCCCCAGGACGCTCACCTGGCCATCAGACTCCCTGTGTCCTCTCCCCAGGGCGCTCACCTGGCCATCACACTCCCTGTGTCCTCTCCCCAGGACGCTCACCTGGCCATCAGATTCCCTGCGTCCTCTCCCCAGGACGCTCACCTGGCCATCACACTCCCTGTGTCCTCTCCCCAGGGCGCTCACCTGGCCATCACACTCCGTACGTGGGAAACTCACAACTCGAACCCCCAAAAGTAAAAACTGGTATGCATTTTCTCTGCCTTGGAGTGACTTCCTAGTATTTATTGGGGGCAGCAGGTTTACCTTTCTTGTTCTGTTTGGTTTAGGCTGATATTAAAAGACTCCCCTCCTACCACAGACCCTGGGGGGACCTGAGGGCGGCCCTCAGAACCTGAGAGGCACAGACTCTCCTGTGCATGTGTGCACTGCCTGTACTTGTGTGCGTGTGTGCGTGTGTTTCCCTGGCACGCATGGCATCACCGTCTGCCAGGCTGGGTGGGGCACAGAGGGGAAGACCAAGGAAGTGCCGCATGACCCACCTTGCCATGATGAGGAAGTATGAGCTGCCCGTGTGCCCTGCCTGCCCACAGACCCTGGGGACATCACCTGGGTGACAAAGCCTGCAGCTGCCAGCAACCAGCCAGGAATGCCGCGTGGCAGGTGTCTCGTCCTGCGTGGGTGTCGTGCGGCCTCCCGCCGTCCTCCGGTTATTTCCGGGTGTGGGTATCATCTCCTAGGGAGGTGCTCAGCCCCTGGGTGGGACAGACTGTTTCCTTCCGACTCCCTGTGGAGCTTATGGGCCTCTCCACCTACCCTGCAGTCCCCAAACTCCAGGGACTTGGAGGTCCCCAAGGAGAGGACACAGCAGTGCGAGACGCTGTCATGGGGGGACGTGGGCAACGGGGAGAGATGCGTGCCCGAGCTGTGAGGAAGAGTAGGTTCATTCTCAGAGCAACGAGGCTATGTGGACATGGTAAGCCCAAGAGTTCTTTTCAAGTGAGATTACTGGGAGGCAATGCTAAGACCGAGTGTTCTTTCCATGTGTGTGTGCGTGCGCGTGTGTGCATGTGTGTGTTTGGGTCTCCTTCCCTCTCTCTCTCTTCACTCCCAGGCTGCTTCTTCCCTCCCCAGCTTGGAATCCACAGTTGAGGCTGGCCAGGGACCGTCAGGCCCAGGGTGGGTGATGGCAGCTGCTGGTGGCCCCCACTGGGCCTGCAGAAGCGGCTTGTTGGGGAAGGGTACTGGGGAGGCGGGAGCAGGAGGAAGCTGGGGTCTCGGGGCGGTGGGATGCCACCGCCACCACAGGAACACTTCACTGCCACTGTCCCCAGCCCGGGCAAACCAGTGGTGGCATGTGCTCTGTTCCGGGGTGGCCTGGGGCCACCTGGCTGCCTCTCCCGAGCCTGGCCCCTGCCCACAGGGCCACACCAGCCTCAAGTGCCTGCCTCCATCCAGAGCCCAGGCTCCCCACTCCCAGGGGCGAAGCCGAGAACCCTGTGGCTGTCCCACTGCTGCCTCCCAGAGGCTTGTCCAGGGCAAGAGGTCCAGGAAGGGCCAAGGTTAGAGCTGGCCCGGCCAGGTGAGGCCTGAGCTGTCAGTGGTGTCACCACTTACACACAGGGCGTGTGGACAAAGTGCGGCATGCCAGGGAGGGCTGAGTGACCCAGGGCAGGCATGTGGCAGGCGCCTGAAGGTGTGGGTGGCGCTGACGATGGCCAGCAGTGAGTGGGGCCCTGGGCAGACACGAACCCCTCGGCGCTGCCGTGCAGGGCTTTCCGAGGGCCCCTCCCCGGCAAGTGGGAAGTGGTGCCTTTCTGACCACGGAGCCATCGTGTCTGCCAGAGGCCTGCCCTGTGCCCTGGCTGCTGTGGCCAGAAGGATGAGTCCAGTGGGAAATGGCTTTTCTTCCTCTCATGCCCCTTTGGGCACCAGGCCCATTAGGAATGGAAGGGGCTGCACTCCCGGGCTTTTCGGGGGTCTGGTAAGTGCCCAGGGGTGTGTAGGACCAGTGGAGGGAAATGCATCAGGCAGGCACCAGGGCACGTGGGTGGCGGTGGCAGTGGAGGGCCATCCCCCCAGGATCTCCCTTCTGGATGTGGACCCCGCACATCAGGCCTGTCACCTGGCCTGTCACACTCCATCTCCAGGGCCCCTTCGTGGGTTTTCTCAATGGGAGAATCAGGTCCCTGGACAGGAGAAGCCGCCCCTCTGTGCAGTGTGTTGGGCACATACCCCCAATCCATCCAGGACCCACCACAGGGGCCCAACAGGGCCAAGTGCAATTGTGAGGGGCAGTGCGACCCCAGCAGCCCTCGCTATGTGCCAGGCACAGGGACAAGCATCGTGCAGACCCCACGCCTGCCTCGCTGACCCTCCACATCCTGCAGGAAGGGCAGTCCTCCAGTGACAGAACTGAGGCTCAGAGAGGGAAAGCAACTCGTGGCAGGTCACACAGCCTCGAAGCCCAGCTCAGCCTCACATTGCCAGAACCCTCAGGGGTGCAGGCTTCCCCAGAAGTTCTGATATAACATTGGGGTTCTCCTGGTCGGGGGATGCAGGTTCCCGGCTCCCTGCATCAAGGAAGGAGCAGGGAGAAGCTCCCCAGCAATGACAGTGGCGAGGCCTCGAACCCCTCCCTCCCTCCACCATTCCGTCATTTGCCCCCATTTCCAGTCACCAGGTCCCCACCACTAACCCAGGGGACCCACAGGGGCTCACAGTGGTCCTCTGTAGGCCTCCTGATGACAGCAGCGCCTGGAGAAAGAGGGCTGAGCCCAGGCCTGGCACAGTCAGGGCCCCTGGCAGCCCCAGCCCTTATAATCATGGTGGCTCAGGGGGGCCTGAAGCCCAGTGGAGGAGGCCCAGAAGGCCGAGCCCAATGGCAGGCCGCTCTCTGCCCGCAGCCAGGCCCAGGTCTGTGGCAAAAGAGGGTGGTGCCCCAGCCAGCCCCAGTGCCCCTGCCGGCCAGCAGCCTCAGCCCAGGCTGGGAGGGAGCAAGGCCCTGCCTGGCTCCTGCGGTCTTTGGGGGAGGGCACGTGGGCCCAGCAGCCAGAAGCACCTCGTGTAGCGTAGCGCTCCAGGGCACAGATGGTTCTCATTCCCACTGCCTCCCTTACACCGGAAAAACAAGCCAGCCTGGGACCAAAAGACCCCGTTTTAACCTCGTGTTTATTTTCCTTGCCTGCCTGAAGCCACTGTCCTGTGGGTGGCATTTGCGGAGGGTCTGGCCAGGGTGGCACTTTCCTGACCTTAGAGCAGCTCTCTCAGGGAGGGGCCGGGGCGCAGGGAGGGGTCCCTGGAGGAGGAGTGCAGCCCACTTCCTGCTCCTGGACTGGTCCCAGTCACACCTGGGGTCACAGCGGCCTTTCAGGGGCCTGGAGTCTCCCGACACCCCGGGAAGGCCCAGGATGGGGTGGGGAGTGGACAGAACTGGGTGAGGCAGGCTGTGGGCCTGGCTGGCTGGGGAGGACCCCTCAAGCCATCAGGAGCTGAGAGTGGGTGGAGAGGAAGCCACATCACACCACATGGGCCCCCAGGGCTCCAGGAATTCAGAGGAGAAGGCCGTGGTAGGGGCTGGGGTCCCAGGACCCAGCGTATCCACAGCCTACGGTGATACCTGCATTCTCCCTAAGCCTGCACAGCTGGGAGGAAGGAATGGGCGGGCTTCATCCCCATTCCAGAGGCACCTGGGAGGCGGACGTGGCCACCCAGGGTCTCCGAGGTGGGAGGGCTTACCACCGTCCCACAGGCCAAGCAGAGCCTGTATTTGTCATCAGCGCCCGGTTTCTCTAAGGCAGGCAGCATCCCCACCGCGTGCACCCCATGGCCAGAGGCGGAGTTTGGAGAAGGGGTGCAGTGAGGCGCGGGAGAGGAGGTAGGACCCCCGGGGAAGGGCGGCGCCCACCAAGGAAGGCAAGGAGGCTCAGCCGCTCCTTTCCACGGCGGGCGAGGCCCGGGCTCACCGGGCAGCCTGTGGGTGAAAGGAGTCTGAGGCCAGCCGGGCTGCACTGTGACCCCGGGACCCCCGCGGGCGCCCAGAAGCCGCCAGGGAACCCGCAGCAAGGCCAGGCCCCAGCCCTCTCCCCTGCACTCGACCTGGGGGGGCTGGGAGCCGCACCCCCACCCCTTCCCGGGGCGCTGCCGCCCCGCGCCGCCCCTCCCGCGCCGCCCCTCCCCCGGCGCCCCTCCCCCGGCGCCCCTCCCCCGGCGCCCCTCCCCCGGCGTCCGCCCCGCCCCCCGCAGAGGGAGGTTCTCGCGGTGGCCGCCCGGTCCGCGCCCCCTCCCCGCGCGGGCGGCGCTGACATCACGGCCACGGCGGCGGGAGGGGCGGCGGCGCCCCGCGCACATCACTTCCTCGGCGCCTCCCCCGGGAGGACAGGCGAACCAGGCGCGGACCGACAGGCGGACAGCGGGGCGGGCAGAGGGCGGACGGCCACGGCGCTGGGGGCGCCCCGGCTCCCGCGCGCCCCGACCCATGGCAGGCCCGACCCCGTCCGCGGCCGACGAGCTCCCGGGCCCCGCCGCCAGGCGCCTCTACTCCAGGTAGGACGGGCTGGGGCCGGGCGGCCGGGACGCGCGGGAGGCTGCAGCCGGGAACAAAGGCGGCTCCCGCGGGCGCGCAGCGTGGCCGGGGACGGCCCCTCCCTCCAGGCCGAGCCCAGCCGGGCGGGTGGCCCGCGTGGGCGTCCCCTGCAGCCCTCTCTCCCCCAAGCCAAGGGGACGGGGGCGGGTGTGTGGGGGGTGCGGGCAGCTTCTCCAGCCGCACTGTCCCAGCAGCTGGCAGGGGCACTGTGGGGAGCTGACCCCCAAGCCTGGCCCTGCCGTGCCCGGGGCGCTCAGGGACATCATGGCCAAAGAGACTGACTGCTGTGGATGGGGCTCTGCCCCTCACCATCGCTCCATGAGCCCAGTGGGATCCCGCTGGGTCGGAGCCAGCCAGGTGGGTGTGTACCTGCCTGAAAAGGCATCTGCCCTCCGGGCACATTCCCAGGTGATCCAGTGGCTAGGCTCTGTGCCCCATGCCTTTTGGGGATGACGCCTAGTGGCCCTGCCCTAGGCGTCATGCTTGCCTGGTGACTCCCTGAGGGGTGCCCTGGGCCCAGACAGGACAGGTGCCTGGTGCCTCGAGCAAGGCTGAGTGGTGCCAGGTCTCAGGCAGAGCCAGACGGCCCCAAGGTCCAGACCGGGGCTCGCAAATGAGTGGCAGCCCTCAGAGGCAGGCCTGGCTCTCCAGAGTGGGAGGGACACCATTGTCCTCTGGACATCCCTAAATCTGGAGACCTCCCTGATAGGGGTCCCAGCTGCTGACCCCTGGGGGGACCTAGCCTGGCTCCCAAGGATTCTGTGGCCCCAGCCAAGCAGCAAGCCCCTGCCTGGGGCGCCCACAACGTGGCTCTGGCGGCGGTGGACGGAGGCCTCGCTGCCTCTGGTCTGCCCTGTGCTCTGGTCCCAGGCACGGCCCCATTGTGTGGTCCTGGATGGAGTGGCGAGTCCCCTAGCCTGGCTCCGGGGCCCACACAGGGGAGGGGCATGAGAGTGTTTCGCTGGCAGCTGCTGCCAGGGGCCTGCCCTAAAGGATTCTCAAGGGCTCCCTCGGAATTGGCTGTGCGGGGCCACATGTGTTCAGGCAGCTGTGCTGTGAGGGATCGATGGCAGCCCTGGCTGGAGTGCGTGAGTGAGTGTGAGTGTGAGTGTGCTACTGTGAAAGAGTGTGTGTGTGGAGCTGTGAGAGCCTGATGTCCGGGACCTTAGCCTTGGGTGAGCCCTACACAGCTGACCAAGGCTCGGGCATTCTCCAGGATCCATCTGGAAGCCTGGGGTCCCTCGGGGACACACCAAACAGGAGCCAGCCCTGGGCAGGGGCAGTGTGCTGAGGGACCACTCAGAGGGACCCCAGGCCCAGCCTCACATCCCCTAAGCAGGGAGTCCAGCTGACCTCCAGGGCTGACTCAGGCCCAGACCTGGGGAAGCCCCCGGGGAGTCTACACCCCACCACGCAGCCACAGCCAGGTTTGGGCAGGCGGTTCCTGGTCAGAGCTGGCTTCAGAGGGGTGGGCCTGGGTGCCTAGAGGCGTGCTGGGCCAGTGGAAGCTGTGGGCCGAAGCGCGGGGCCCTTTGCTGTCACGCTGGGGCTGGAGAGGCGAACAGTTGCCGGTCTCCTGAACCCCTTGTACCAGGGGCAGCCCCCGCTGGCGCGGGCAGTGGCGGCGGGCCTGGGTGCCCTGGAGGTGGTCGGGACCTGTGCGGACACTTCGTGGGGCTGCACCCGGGTCCCTCAGTGTGGATGTGGCTCCAGGTGGCCCAAGGTCTCCCCTACCTGGTCCACCCCCTTCCACGCTGACATTCCCTCCTGGAGAGGGGAGTTCTGGTTTTTAAATGGGGGGCTGTGCCTGGAAGACACACTGAGAGAGGTCATGAACGTGCCTGTGAACCCACCACGTCCCCAGACGGGCTCGGAGGAGGGGCCCTGGCTGCTGGCTCAGCCGGAACTGTTAGTGCTCAGAACTCTGGCCCACTTGCACGGGGTCCGCCCTGGCCCAGAGCAGGGCTTTGAGGTGAAGGGGCCTGGTGAGGACAGGCCAGAGCTGAGAAGGTCCCGGAAAGTGGGGATGCCCTGTGGGGTCCTCTCCTGGCCTCCCAGCAGCACTAAGGCCAGCTGCGTGCTCCCCGGGGTGGGACGGGGAGGGGCAGTAGGGCAACCCCGCTGGGGTGACCCTGTTAGAGGCGCCATCCAAGCAGCCGCCACCAGTTCCCAGATGGGACATCCTCAGATGTGGGTTGCCCCCCCAATTCCTCTGGCCACATGACCATGGTACCCCCCCTCTCACTTTGTCCCTCCCCCCTCCCCTGTCCCCGTCCTGGGCACCATCTCTGGCGGGCTGCTGGAAAGCCATGGGCCCTAGGAATTCTTGGCAAGCCTGACCCCAGGCGCGTCCTATGGCCTGGTGACCTTCACCTTCCCCCTCCAGGGATTCCACCTCCCGCCATGCTCCCAACCCGGTCCTTGCCCCTCACTCTCTCCCCTGCCCCGGCCATTGAAAGGGAGTCAGTGTGGTTTTCCCCAGGGGTGTCTGGCTGGGGGGATGGGGTATATAGAGCCAGCTGTGAGCGGGGTCTCTTGGGCATCTGCGCAGGGGCCAGCGTGTCGGTGATGGCCCTGGGGAGGGGCAGGTGGCAATTCTGTTGGCAGGGCTGGGGCTGAGGGACATGGCTCTCAGGTGGTAGGAGCTGGGGGGCTGGCTTGGAAGCTGGCCTTGGTAGTGGGCACTCCAGCCACCATGGAGGGTTTGGGGGTTCAGTCTGTTGACGGGGGCTGAGCAAGGGAGAGGCATTCTAGGCCCTGCCCCACCCCTTGGCCAAGCTGTCCTGAAGATGGACAAATAGCCCAGCCTGAGTGGGACCCCTGAGCCCACGAGGCCTCCAGGCCGGGAGGAGAGGGCCCAGGGCCTGAGACCCCCACCTGTCCTTGGATCCCTGCCTCTGCTCAGACCCTGTGGGCATCTCAGGGACAGGACTCGCCCCCCCCAGTCCCCTGCCTCTGTCGGGTTCGAGCCTCCTCCTGTACCACAGGCGGCTGGAGGAGCTGGAGCCCAGCTGAGAAGGACACGGCGGAGTGGGGGTTGCTAGGGGAGTCTGAGGAAGGGAGCCAGGCTGGGGGAGCACGTGCCTCCCAAGCCCCATGACCTAAGGAGCGGCCCCCCCAGGCCCTGAGTGGCCCTGGCTCCATTAGACCTGGGGCTCTGTGTGCACCTTGGACGGTCAGGTGAGGGAGAGCACAGAGGGCCCGGTGGACCAGGGGCTGGCATGGTGAGGACTCCGCCACCCACACCTGCTGCCCCATGCCGGCACCGTGGGCTGGTGCCAGGGAGGCTGGGGAGGGTGCTAGGTGGGGTCACGGGTGGAGCAGAGGAGGCACAGGGACCTGGAGGAGAACCGGGAGGGGGCCAGGGGCTGCCGCTGCCCAGAATCCCAGCTTTGCCCAGCCCTGGGCCGGGGGCACTCACACACTGGGCGGCATTCCTCTTTCCATTCACAAATGTGCCCGGCGCTCCTGAGTGAGCCCGCTCCTGGGGCAGAGCAGCCTCCGCTGGGAACCAGATAGACGTTTGCAGAGGAGTTGGCCGGTGACTGGGCGGGAGGGCAGTGCTGCTGGTCCCGGTCCCCGGAGGAGCCTTTGACGGGATTACCCCAGGGCTCCCCGCCCCGCTGCTGACGATGCTGACCCAGCCTCTGAGCCGTCCTTGATCCCTTGATCCCCATCAGAGCCTGGGGAGGCCTCGAGCACCTGCTGGAGGGCGGGGCGGGGGTCCCTGAGCAGGGACTGTGGAGCGTTAAACCACCACCCTGGAGGTCAGGGGGCAGGCAACCCTGAGGCCAGCTCACCCCCCAGGACCCATGGCCGTGGTGGGACGAGGGCTCGCGTGGGGGAGGAGGGCCCGCGGCCTGGCGATGCCGTCTGCTGCTGTGGAGGGCCCGCCTCTGGCCCTGAGCTTGGCAGAGAAGGCGGTGTGCAAGGTGGTGTATGGCGCCCCCCGCCCCCGCCCACTGCTGCTGCCCGTGGGCCTGGAGCTATTGCTCTATGTCCAGAAGATGCGAAACCTGCAGAGAAAGAGGTGCGCGGGCAGCGGTGGGCGGGCACATGCGCGTGGGTGCCAGGGCGTGGTTGGAGGCCGTCTTGGGATGTGTGTGGGGGGGTACCCCAACTGGTGCAGCTGCAGGGGGCTGGCTGCACGGCCTGGATCCCAGATTGGAGGTGCAGAATGACGGAGCCCCAGTGCACCCTCCCCCCCCCGACTTTAAGGCCCAGGTCTTTCCGAGGCCAGAAACCTCATTGCCTTGAGCCTCGGATGCCACGTCTCCGGCTGGGAGGGAGGTGGGAGGCAGCTCCCATAATCAGATCTGCGGAGCAGCAGCGTCTGGGCTGTGCTCTGCCAACACCCAGGCCTCAAGCCTGAAGCCCCTCTCCTCCAAGGTTGCCTGGAGGAGGAGCAGTAAGCCAAGCGAGACCACTTGGCAAGCGGCTGGGCGGGTCAAGTGTGCCTTAATTGAGAAGCCCCATGCGTGGCGCTGGCCGAAGGATGGGGCTTGGCTGGTTGCCATGGCGACCGTGGGCTCCTGTGACCCACGTGGCATCCGGACAGTTATTCTCAGAGGGATGGGTGAGGTGGCTTCGAGAAGCCTGGCAGGTGGTGGGTGGGAGGCCCTGGCCCTGAGGAGAAAGGATTGCTGGAGGCAAGGAGTTCAAGACCAGCCTGGACAACATGATGAGACCTCCGTCTCTACCAAATAAAAAAAAAAGTTACTGGATGGCAAGTCTTGAGTGCAAAAAAAAAGGAAAAGAGAAAAAAAAATGAGCCGCATGGTGGGGGTGCAAACCTGCAGTCCCAGTACTCAGGAGGCTGAGGCGGGAGGATGGCTTGATCCTAGGTGATGGAGGCCTGGCGGAGATCACACTGCTGCCTCCAGCCTGGGCGACAGGGCAAGACCCTGTCTCTAAAAA